AGTTTAGTTAAGAGTGAATCAAAAATGTTGAGAAGATGTGGGGAGGTTCATCAGTTTTATCCAGATGTTACGATTGCTTAAGGATCTGCTTCAAGAAAGAGATTCCTAGACTAGTTTCTTATGCTGCTAGGGTATATTTGTAGCACCATATACACTGTTAAGTTATGTTTATTCCACAAAAGGGAGTTCTTCGGTTTTTGATAGCCCGTTAAGCTATTCAAATCAGCACTCAACGGATATTGAAGAAGGTCCTGGGGCGTTAGAAAGGAACTCTTATGTCTTCCTAGATCCTAGATCAAGAGGTTTTTACAAATTCCTGTTCAATTAAAAGCGTTGACAATCCAAGGAATGCTTTATTCCAGGCTCGGAAACTAGGCGGTATTTTAAAGGCAGTATTTAGCGGTATTTCATATAAAGAGGTGGTATTTGGGGGTATTTGGAGGTTTTTGGATGGAAGTTGGGGGCTATTTGGCGGTATACCACCTAGTTTCAGAGCCTAGGCTTAAATAATAAAGAAACATATTTTTTTTTTCTGATTTCTACGGTATTTCCCGAACACATCAGCCATAGCCACCCAAAACGACTGCAACTTCCTTCATTTTCCACACAAAAAATTGATCATTAACCAAAACTACACGTAGCATGCAAAAAAGGGGTTATGATGAAAAACTCAGATACTAGTTTACTGCCTCTGCTTTATTTGCTTTAGAGAAAAAGGGCTTTTACTAGTGCCTGACTATGACGATGATGGAAAAAGGAGAGCAAAAAAATTTTTTTAACTTTCATAAAAAAAAACTTTTTTTTTCGCATCAAACGACCAAAAATTTATATGAACCAGCAATACATTTTTATGATTTTACGTTTTTATGATAAGCCATCATATCCAATGTGAGTGTCTATGTGGAAAGTTCTTTCAGTTTTCACTAAAAAAAAATAATACAAACATAAAAAGTTTCTTTTTTTTTGTGGGGGAGACGGCAATGAATAGTTTTGTTGGTTTCTTTCTTTTTTGCGATCAAACCCTTTTTGCCCTTGCATTTTATGATATACATGAAAAAGTATTTTTTGAGAGGCATATAATAATTGTAAGCGCATGTCTAGGCCATTTTTGCCTTTTTTATGTGTGCCTTCTAGCATTCGAGAGAGCATTTTTTTATAGAGATATGAAAGTGAATGAATGTATAGAGCTAGATATGGATGATGAGAATGAATGCTTCATAGTTGAGTACTTTCGATTTCAACATATAGAATTCTTTATTTTTCTTTTGCTCATACAAAATTTATTCATCCATCTTTGCACATTCATTGGAATAGAACTTTTTTTTTTGGAAGCAGATTTTTCTTTTGGTTTCTAATGTTGACTGATTCTCATAAACAGTTTGGATTGAAGGTTATTTTTAAACAAGGATTCACGTGGCACTGCAGGCTGGATGAATATATTTAGCTTCTATGAAATAGAAGAAGTTGACTGCATCTAAGTAGCACATTAGAATTCCTTATTATCTTGAACTAGCAGATGATATTGACGGATAAGGATCCAAAAAAACACGAGTCGGTTAATCAATCAGAAATCTGGCATGGTGCTGGATTTAAAACGAAGCCAGCACCATACCAGAGTCATGCTGGCTTGGAGCCAGATTTCTATTCGATTAACCGACTTGTGCTATTCGGGGATGGATTTAACAAAGCTCAACGACGACTCAATCTTTTGTAAGTCAGTTCAATTCGACTGAATGACATGAAACTGAACAAAACCCTTAAAAAGTGTCATCAAACCTCAAACACACATAAAACCCATCCAGTATGTGTAACAATATCAAACAACACCTCAAAATCCACTCAAATCTAATGAATCCCGATGCTCATTTCCAACATGCGTTCCATCCATGCCATAAAATGCACCACCAACTTTTATGGCACTCTTCATTTTTTATAGCATTCAACTATAAATGCCTTACTCCATTCGTAGATCCAACATTTTTTTTAAAAAAAATATATGAAATCGAGAGTAATAGTGGCAGGGGGTTGGTGAGTACTCACAGAAATGAGTGGATTTGCTCAGTCATTGTAACTCACAGAAAATGAAACTGCTCAGCAAAAAAATAAAATACAAACGCTGGAAAATTTCTACAGCTTCTCTCCCATTGAATCAGCTAAATAACAATAACTTCAGTTAAAAATGTTGATTTTTCTGTGCGTATCCTGTACTTGCTGATACAAACGCTGCCTTCGCTTTCTATTCAGTATTTTTTTTTTCGAAAAAAAAAATGTATAATTCAGATGGAGACGAGGAAAGTAAAGAACAATATATGAGTGCTTCCGATATGCCTGTACGATGCTGTTTTCTGCTGATTTCAATCATTTTTTGCCAAATTTATTTTTTCTGCTTTTCTTCTGCTCATCGTCGACATCGTTCGTTGTTGGTGGATGAGCATGATTTAAAAATTGTGTGTAAGTTACAATTACGATGTGTGGCGGGATGGATGGAGTGCATTTGAATGATTGTGATTGAACGTTTAAAAGGTTCAAAATTTCATCGACTTCGAGCTCTGGTTTTGAAAGACTTTTGCTTTCACATGCTTAAATATAGCGCTGATCTGTCTCTAGATTTGATTATTAATGTAAGTGGTGGTCAATCTATGTATTCCCGAACACTAATAGGTCATAGAGGATGTCAGTTGTCTTAAGGCTCGAAATTTAATATTAATACGCTGTCAAACTCAAAACCCTGTCGACAAATTGAGCCTCATATCTTTAAGTTCAAGGCTTCACAAACCATGCTCCTTGGTACTAGTTTGTCGAGGCATTATGTTAGCTGAGTCATGAAAAGTTTGGCCTAAGGTTTGTGACAGAAGATAGCAAAGATAAATGACAATATTTACCAATATCTTGATAATTTTAACATTCCTGCTTGCCACAAAGTCGGTTTATAGATTTAAACCTTACCATCGTCCCACCTACACTAGAATCTGCTCTAGAATCGTATCCTACACTTAATCCTAAGTAGCACTCTTATAAATTTCCCAGGTACCCTATAAAAAGATTCAATAATATAAAATGCTATCCTTAATCAATTTCAAGCACCCCTTTTACATCAAATTCAATCCTAATCCCACCAAAGATACAAAAGAGATCAGCAATTCATCCAGTCAGCAAAAATAGCAGCCAGCAAAATTGAAACAATAAAGCGCATCAATTGAGCAGGAAAATTTGCTAAAAATAGGCAAAAGGCATTATCGTTTTGTGTCTATGGTGCGTGTTGTATGTTTCAGAATATTTCAGAGAAGATGCGAAAAAATGGATTCTCCCTCCTTCCCGTAAAGTAAAAAGATATTTCGCTTTTTTCCACTGTCGTTTGCTTTTATTGAAATTGATCTGTTATGTAAAGTTCTCGTTATTCAATTATATTCTCTGATGATTCTTTCCAATTCCTCTTTTTTTTCCATCCATTTTTGAATGCTCTGCTCTTTCATTTGTAAAGTTTTTGCCATTTTATTGATTATTTTTTTTTATCTAGAATTTCTTTTTTGTTCGTTCAGATTAGATGAAGTCTGTGAAGTTATTTGAGGTAATTTTTGTTACTACATCGATAATAATAATCATGATGATGATAATTTCAAATTGCTGTTCTGTAAAATTTTGCTTATCTTGGTGCTTTTCTTCATTCGGTCAATGGGAAAAATGTTTAAAGGGAAGAATTACTTAATGAGATTAACAAATTACGGATGATAATCAAGTAAGTTTTTGGAAGTTTAAAGTAAAGCAAGAACTTTTGACAATTCCAGATGATTTTGTTATGAAAGTTTGAGATTGGCAGTTTGATGGAGGAAGCTTTTAAAGTCATAGTGATGTGAACACGACTATGATTTTTAATAAACTCTGGAAGAAAGGTCTCCTGCTTCTGGATCATTCATAAATGACGTCCATTATAAATCGAAAAGTCGAAAAATCGACCCACTTCTGAACCAGAGAGATTTGAGAACCAGACTTAAGAGAGAATTCTAGAACTGGTCAATTCCTTTGCGAGTTAAAGCTGATAGAAGTGATTGTAGAGCAGTGTTCTCCAAACTTCCTTTGCGAGTTAAAGCTGATAGAAGTGACTTTAGACCAGTGTTGTCCAAACTTCGAGCCACGGCACACTTTAGGGTTAAGCCATCACCAAAGTCGCACACAGCATGCGGTTCACGTCATTTAAAAAAAATTCTACGGCACACTAGAGTGCCGCGACACGCAGTTTGAACAACACTGCTGTAGACCATACTTTTCATACATTTTTGACACACAAATTTGACTATTTCTATTATTGCTTTTGAATATTAAGTCCAAATGAGCTTAGATTTGGCGTGAAGGATCAGTTGCTGTTCCTGAATAAGGGGAGGGGGTTAGGGGTTGGAGTAATGAATCCTCTTCTACCCAACAAAAATTAAAAAAATTGATAAAGTCAGTTTAAAAATATTTTTATGTATTACTTTAATATTTAATGCATTTAAAATCGGAAAATGCGGACATTTTTTGCTAGTTGCTATTTGAATCTTCAGCAGGGGCGTAGCCAGGGGGGGGCCATAGGGGGCCCGGGCCCCCCCTACGAAAATATGATAATTGTTTAGAAAATAACGGGTTTTTAAAATTTGAATTTTTTATTTGTTTACAAAAAATATTAAGTACGATTGAAATAAAATTGAGAGATTAATTAATTAATAAAGTCTTATTATTAGCCTACACCACAAGTGAGTTGAGAAAAATTTATTATTAAACGCTATTAAAAAGCAACAAAACGTTTTGTTCCTAGCTTCAGGATGAAAAGACGCAAGGATGGATCTATTTTAAACTATTTTTCAAAAACATCCAAAAATGAAAATGAAAATTCAGATCACCAAAAAATTTCGTCAGAAATCAGTGCAACTGAAGAAGCTACTATAATTTTGAGCCAGTCTGTAAGCATACCGGGATTGTCTAGTTTTGGGTCGTCTAAGGATATTTCATTTTATAATCCGGTGTTAATGACTGATGAGGAGAAAATTGCTGCACTAAATTGTTTGGATCAACCTGAAGCTTCTTATGACTATCCAACCACATTCATGAATGAAAGAAACCGAAAATTCCAGCCAAAATGGTTCCAAACTTTCCCATGGATTTATTATTCCAAGTGCTCTGACAGTGTATTCTGTAAATTCTGCTTTTTTTACGGAAATGGTAATGGAAGTAAATTTGTTTTAAATGGATTCAGAAACTGGCGTAAAAGCATAGAAAATTTTGAAACCCATCAATCAGCAGGATTCCATATAAAAGCGGCAACAATAATAGCAACAAGAAATTCTATTTTGGATGGAAAATTTAAACCTATAAATGAAGTCATTGATAAGGAATTAGATGTGCAAAAACAAAATAATCAACAGCTTTTGCAGCCAATCATTGAAGCTATAATTGTATGCGGTCGGCAAAATCTTTCTCTTAGAGGTAAACACGATTCAGGTCCACTATTCTCCACTGATGATAATGTTAATGATGGAAACTTGCGATCACTTCTTCGATGGAGAGCACAATCAGATTCGAAATTCATGGAATTAGTAAAAAATGCACCAAAAAATGCTACTTATCTTAGCCCAACAATTCAAAATGAAGTTATATCAATTATTGAAAGAATTATAATCGATCGTCGGGTGCATAAGTTGAAGAAATCAACATTTTTTTCCATATTCGCTGACGAAACTTCTGATCGAGCAAATATTGAGCAATTAGCTATTGGCGTGCGTTATTATGATTTAAAAGAAAACTCAGTCAATGAGGATTTTTTGAAATTTGTTCAAATTACAGATCAAACTGCGCTCGGAATTTCAAGTGAAATATTGACAAATTTTGAAGAATTGGGAATTAATTTGAAGAACTGTGTTGGACAAGGTTACGATGGTGCTGCAGTTATGTCTGGTCAGAAATCAGGAGTAGCAAAAAGAATTCGAGATAAATATCCATCGGCAATTTATGTGCATTGCATGAGCCATTCTCTTAATTTAGTTTTAACGAATTCATGTAATATTGCATTGCTCAAAAATTGCAATGACACTATCAAGCAAATTTTCAACTTCTTTAATTCTCCAAAACGTCAGCATACTTTATCCGAAAGTATTGAAGAAAAGTGCTTAGAAAGTACGAAAAAGAAGTTGAAAAATGTATGTCCGACAAGATTCATTGAACGACACCAAACAACAGCAACATTTTTAGAGCTCTTTGACGCGGTAGTTTATGCTTTACAGGAAATAATTGATTGGAATGATTGCACATCGCATACTGCAATCGGTTTTTTTGACTCTATATTATCGTTTCCATTCTTAATTTCATTGCACACTCTTGATTTTGCATTAAGTTATACTGTTGGTCTTAGCCGATATTTGCAAACATCGTCCATTGATTTAACTCAAGCCATTAGTTCTTCTGCAGACATTATTGACAATTTCAAGGAAATGGAGAGTGACTCTACAAATGAGTTCAACAAAATATATACAATTGCAAAGGGAATAGCTGAGAAACATCAAATTGAGATAAAGAAGCCACGATTTAGTGGAAGACCCCGTGCAAATGGTGCAAATACAGATACAGAAATTTATTATCATAATTTACTTTTTAAGCCTCTGATCGTAAGTTTCTGTAGTGAACTTGGGGAACGATTCCAGAAGCATCGCAATGTTCTTCAAAGTTTTCAATTGATTTTAAGTCATAGTTCGTGTTCAGATGAAGTATTGAAGAAGGGAATCGATCACATTTTGAGCTTTTACAGTGAATTTATTCTTGTTTCAAACGTGCAGTTATTGGCAGAAATCAAAATTTGGAATGTTAAGTTATCTAGGCTTGATGAGAAACCGATCTCAGTCGTTGATCATATTAAATGTTGTAACGATTTATTTTTCCCGAATGTATTTAAGCTATTAATGATCTTAGTTGTACTTCCAGTTACCAATTGTACACTAGAAAGAAGTTTTAGTAAATTGGATAAAATTAAAAGCAATGATAGGACAACAATGACTGAGGATCGCTTAAATGGCTTGACTTTATTAAGTATTTATAGAGAAGAACCAGTACATGTAGAGGAAGTGATGAAAGAAATGTCAAAATCAGCACGAAAAATTAAATTTAATGTATGAATAATGAATTAAATATTTAAACTTATGAAGAATGAATATAGATTTAAGGATACAAAATAACGGTTTTTTAATTTTCGAAAATGGGCCCCCCCCTTAAAAATTTTCTGGCTACGCCCCTGATCTTCAGTAATGGCTTTGCTGAAGTCATCACAACTTGCTTTTAGCTTTAAATTGAAGCTTCAGATCATAAAAATTATTAACAATCCCCCCCACATTAAAATCAGGTCAACCGTCTTCAAAACTCTCGCATCTCTCAACATCCACAGTCATCAATAAAAACCAATTCTCAGCAAAAAAAAAAACATTCCCTAATTTTTCAAAAAATGCATAAAACAATCCAAACTGCCTACAAATAATTTGATGAGTCAGCATGAGCCAATTTACCTACAAAAAATAATTTAACACAAATCATTACAAACAGTGATTGTCACTGCAACTTTTTCCCACCTTTTTAGTCTGCCAAACAAATTTCTTCCTCCCTAAAAAATAATTTTAATACCTTTTTTTCCAGTTCCTCTCATTCTATTACTCGACATAATATTTCGCTCAATTTACTCACAATTTTTTTAAAAAGTTTATTTTTTTCTTCTTTTTCGGCCTATTTGTTTCCACTTTTTTTCCAGCATAATGCATGAATGTCAGAAATAATTATGCGCTTAAGAAGAAGAAACGCACAATGTATATTTGTTATTTTTTTTTTCTTCATTAAATGCCACTGTACTGCTATTTTATTTCGTTACTGAGGGAAGTTATTATTATTATTATTATTATTATTATTATTTATTATTGTACTTTTGTCAAAGGAAAAAGCCGATTTAAATGCACAGCACATCTCTGGCATTTAAAACGGCATAAAAAACCTTTGTAATGGGTGTTCACAATTTGAAAAAATTAAAGGAATTACAACATTCGAAAATTATTAAGAATTCCTATCAACAATTACATTTTTCTTTTAACGGGCATTTTGATTTTATAAAACATAGCATGATCTTAATTGTGTCATCTCAGAAATAACGGAAAGAATTTAAAATTTTCAGTTAAAAAATTACAATTATTATAACAGTTAATTTAATTTAATAAGTGCTTAAAGTTCCATCCAAAACTGCATCTTGACTGATCTATACCGACTGTATGATGATGACTAAGCCAAGTCTAAGAGTCTAGTAAAAGGAAGAGAGAAAGCAGAAGCTGTGGTAAGTATCAATCCATGACATAAATTTTAAAATATGCAATTTCTAATTATTTAATATTTATAAAAATTTTTCGGTGAATTCGTTGCTGAGGCACATCTTTGAGAATTCTTCGTTTCTGATGTGACATCGAAGCGCCCATTTGAAGCTATTTATATGTGGAAGTCGCTTTATATCTTCAGGAACATGATTAAATATTTTAGCACCAAAATTAAGTATACATCTGCTTCCATATCCAGTTCTTGCTTTTTGCGGATTAAGTTGTTTATCGCTTTGTCTTGTGGGTCTTGTGCTTTTTGATTTAGAGAAGACCATATTGGAATGAACGTTGTTGTGCATTACGTTGTAAACGAATGCAGCAGTGTTGAGATAGAAAAGTGCGCGAGTCTACATAGAGTTGAATTTTCATAACAAAAACCAAGTTGGAAAGTGATTTTAGAGTTGTGGATTTAGAGCGCATTTGCAATGGGAGTTGGAACATTGATAGAAACAATGTTGGAGCAAGTTGTGGAGATAGAATAGCTGTGGCTAATGATAAAGTCAGCTTCAAGTATCAACTCTTTTGGACGGTCACCTCAGTAAGTAATTAAATGATGTTAGGGTTACACTTGGTACGACACTGGCTCTGTTACATGATGAGTTTGACTTAAAGGCATTCCTGAAAAAGCCTCTCACACTCTGCTAGGTAAACTATACGATTACATATCCAAAACTTCAATAAATTGTGATTTATATGGTCTCTAAGAGTGTCATACTGATCCAAAGATAGATGCAAATATTACCACAGCTGTCCCTCCTTTTGTAGACGTCACCAAATCCCTTCAAGCAGAATTTAACTCCTAGTCAATCCACACAACATAAATAAACCAGCACTAAGACAATCCAACCTTCCACCACCCTCATTTATACAAAAAATTCAAGCTAAACATATTTAAATTGCGGTAATGATAGATCTTGAGAAAAATAGCAGTTCATAGTGCGGTCGGTGCTGCTGACCCCCACAAAAAAATAAAAATTGAAACATAAAAGTAAAAAAACAAACGAGAACTTGGAATTATTTATTATTCAGAATTGCGTGCAACGAAAATTTGAATAATGAACAGTTAGGTACTTTTTTCAGTTCTTTACTTTTTTTTGAAGTGAATTTTTTGGTCTATGCGTGTGGACGTTTGTATGTGTGCTTATTTGTTTCTAGCTTTTGAAAAAATATATAAATCAGAGTGAATCAGAAAGAAAAGTGAAAAGAAGAAGAAGACAAAAAATTATAATAAATTAGCTGTAATGGAACTTCCATCTACTTTTGGAAGACTAAATGCTAATTTTGAGTTTTTGATGCAGTTTTGAGGTTTAGGTTATGTCGTCGGCGTTGGCTTAGCTCAAGGGTGATTCAGGAGGGGGTAGACATGCCTCAAGATTAAAATTCATGCTTGCACCCCTTCATAAAGTTTGCAATTTATATGAAAAAAAATTCAGAGCACCCTCGAAAATTTCTGAACACACTCCTTTATTAAATTGCTCAAGCTAGTCAAAGGTGTAGCCAGTGATTTTGCTGTGATTCAAAACATTAGAGGGGAGGTCCAGTCCCATCTGACCACCCTGAAGCTAGTTAAATCCATGTCTCAATATAATTACATTTCCCAAACACAATTTTCTTTTATTTAATTCATGCATTTTGATGGCATTTTTCAAGAACTTTTCCATATTTTCTTGACATTTTTCCTACACAATTTTCTAAAAAAGAAATAAAAAACTATCAAAATAAAAAAAAACATCAAAAACAGGACAAACTTTTTATGCCTCATTCTATATATGAGATTTTCGAGAATATCAAAAACTTTTCAGGGTCTTTTTTTTATTTCATTTTCCCATAAAAATTGTTATCAAATTTTCATAGGTACATATACATGCATATTCACATACTCACAATTTCTATCATGCCACAAATTCTTTTTGTGTGTAATCCATTTCCCAAACATTAAAAATCATAAAAATTTTATATTACCCAAGCATTTTTTAGTGACTCAAACAACTCAATGATTTTTTTTGAGTACCCAATTCTTCTTTTTGGTCCTCTGAAAATTTTATTTTATCCTTTTTTACCATAATTTTATGCCTTTATGCATAATCGTATTTCATTTTTTTTTTTATTTTGCCTTGTCGATTTTTATGCAATTGAGAAATCAAGTAAGCGATATTATTTTCTCCGTCCATACAAGCTAATCAAGCTTCGTTTGAGAATAGAAAAGGGATGATGGCAATGAATGTTGGTGATTAAGGTTTGATTTTTGAGACGCATTTTTGATGTGTGGTGGCTTTACTTACTCACTTCGCTGGTCGTACTGATCAGGTGTGATCCATGACCTCCCTTAGTCATCCCCTAAAATTAGCTCTATCGCTGGTTACCGCCTGCCAATTGTCGATTCCGAATGCAATGCTGTCCCTATCAACAGCCTCTTTCCATGAGTTCTATGGTCTTCCACGTGCTCGCTTGCCATCTACAAAGTCAGACTTGAAAACCTTCACTAATGGAGCTTCCACAGGTCTCCTCAGTACATATCCTGCCCATCGAAGCCTCTTTAGAGTGTGTGGTGGCTTTAGATGAAGTTTTATGACAGTGTTTCTTATATTAAGCTGTATGGAGCTTTACCGTGCTGTAAGAAATCGAAGATGTGTCAACAGTGGTTACCAGGACTGCTCCATGACGTAAAAAGTTTGAAGCACTGCTCTATAAAGCCTGTTAGCTGTTTAGCTACAAACTATACATCCTTAGATTCCAATCAAAACGAATGCCAGACACAAGAGCATCCAGCATCTAACCATAACTTTCTAGTTCTTATTTGTCAGACAAACTGCTCAAAAATCCTCAAATCAGAAACTAAAAATACACAGAATTACAAAAATAAAAATCAGTAAATGGATGAATGGATGAAAGTATCTCATGCTCGACTTCTTACTTCAATTTCTCTTTTGTAAGCAAAAATTTTCATTCTCCACTCCTTGATGCTCTTAACTTTCATTTCCTTGCCAACAATTTCCTCCTCTTTAGATATTTACTATTAACTTAATATCAAAAATGAGTTGAATTGTGGAAAAAGGGACAAGTGATGGGATTTATGATGTTTTAAAGGAATACATAATAGCATCCTGTTCTTAAAATGATGTAAAATGCAGTATTAAACAGTATGCGCATGCATGGAAATTTCATAGTTTGATGTGTTTTTAAATAGGGGATGGAACTGTCAAGATGTTTAATGAGAAATTTGTGCCTGTAGTGATTTATTGCACAGGGATGTGATTAGAGAAATTGAATGAATATTTTAGGATGGAAGTTATTTTTGAAATTTTATAAAATTCCAGATTTTTGTTTTGTGCATCTAGTGACTTAGATGGCTGTAAAATCCTGCAGCTTAAATTTTTTTTGTTGTATTAAAATCAACTTAATCAATTTGATCAGTGATGGTCAACCCGTGCCGTAAAAAAGATTGGGATATCCCAAGAACCTTATGATGTGTGTGGTTTTGGTCATAGCTTATCATCAAGAGAATCGTGGCACAAAAAACGGTTGAACAGCACTGAATTAAATTCTCAAATTTTAAGTTATTTATGCAAATATAATCAATTTTCATACCTACTTTAGCTATTCATGCTTACCGTTAAGGTTTGAGCTCATTAAGTCTGTTAAGATCGCCTCAAAATTGGTTCTAAACTTCATAAAAATTCAAATGTTTAAATTCAAGCCATTAGAAAAGCTCCCCTGATCAGATCCTCTTAAGCTTCAAAGTGAGCACTTAAAACACAAAAATTCACAACAAAGCAAGAATGGATAGCTTATGAAAGAGAAAGGATTACACAAGAAAAAAGCATGAAAGAAGTTGAAGTAGATTTAACAGAAAAAAAGTAGCATTCAAAAAACTTTTTTATTTTTCTCTTCTATTTCTTTTTAGACTCGATGAAAAAGGTATAAAAGGAAAAGTTTTTCATTTTGACATTTTAAAAACTAGTATTGGAGTGAAGATTTTTGGGGATGAGGTTTGGTTTTAGCGCATTTTGAGGGGTTTTGGGGGTTTTGGAAGCTCCATTCCTGGTTTTATTTTAAACATTTTATCGAGTAATTTAGGAGTTTTGGCTTTTGATCAAAGTGGAATCTGTGGTGTTTCATGCTATTTATAGGCGATTCTGCCAGTGCGAGAGGTTAGGCTAATGTGGTGTGAGTGCTTAGGTAACAGACTGGATTTCTGTAACTCTCTCTTTTGTGAGGATATGGGCTCGATTCCCATCAGAAACCGATCTACTCAGTATTTAGAGTATTGCTGATTTGACAAGGATTTGAACGATGCTCACGATATTACGATGATCAATTTTTGATAGGAATTGAACTCACATACTTTCTTATTTGGCTTACCATTTAATTTATTTGTGTTCATGGTTTTTTATAAGTTCTTGCTTATAGTTACCTCCTTAAAAGTCAATCGGCAGTTCATCTAAAGAAATTCAAGTCAAGCAAGAAAACCAAATTTTTTGAGAGTCTTCAATGATTTTAATCAAAATTCTTAAAACTGATTGAACGACAAAATGACAAACTTTCATTAAAAAATTGTCAAATTGCTCTTTTAAAGAAAATAAAAAGTAAAAAAAAAACTACCTGAAAATAAAAATTAAAACACGATAAAGAAAAAGTTTGGTACGAAAGTAATTCCAAATCTCTCCTTTTTGTAATATCCATTTTCATTTTCATTTAAAAAACGCACAATGTGTTCATTATTGATTATTTTTCATTGCAATGTGACATAAAATGGAAGTCGAATGAATGTGAATGTGATATTTCAAAAGTGTGTAGTGGATGGAGGTAAGGCGAGATAGGAAGAAAGAGTGAGATTTATTAATTAAAAATGTAAATGCCACACAAATGAAAATTCAATGCTCTGCTGCTGCTGTTGCTGTTGAATCCACCCTCACTTTCACTTTTCCTTCCATGCGAATGTATTATCGTGTATGCGTATATGTTGTTTATTATGCTTCAACCCTTTCTCTAAAATGCTGTACATGTCTTTTTTGTGCTGTGCTAAATAATAAAGCATTTTTCGCATTCGACTCTCCCCAAAAAACATTTTTATATACAAAACGAGAGATGGAATATACACTCTAAATTTATGTATGAACTGTACGTAAAAGATGATAAATTTTAAATAAATTAAATTTTCTTTAAAAACTTCAAATGGATTTTTATGTCATTGTTGTCTCACACTCCTAAAATTTCTCTGAATGGATGGGGTACGGTTGTGTTTTAAAATTTTATGTGCGTTTCACTATTCCATCCATCCATCTATTCATCCATCCACGCAGTGATAACAAGTTTGAAGGAAAAAATATTGTTTTAGAAAAAAGTTTTAAATTTTCTTATTTTTCAATACTTTTTTTTTGCGTCCTGAGCATTTGAAATATTATCGGAGGGTGTAGGTGTACATGATGGAAATGTTGGAAGTAAATTATTTTGCTTAGTTGAAAGAAATTGATTAGTTTAA